ATTGTAGAAAGTTTTCTGTGAGGAGTAGGTTTAGGGTAAGGGGATAGAAAATACAGTTTGTACAGTAGAAAAAACATTACGCCTATGGAGAGTCCCCATAAACATGGAAACCCAACATGTGTGTGTGTGTAAGGCCTCAGTAGGTTTTGTAGGCATAAGGAATGTGCATCTATGATCAAATTTTACCTTTCAGATCCTAATTATTCACTGGTTACTGGCTAAATACTCAAGCTAAACTATCATGTACAAATAATGAAAGGAGAGGTGAGGAGACTCTTTCTAATACTCTGATGGCTCACTGCACCACTGGACAGGATTATCTGAAGGCTACTTAAAGAGACACTCACACACACACACACACACACACATTAATGGACACGTATGGCCTACAGCGCTGGGATCTTTATTACATAAGACTCCCTCAAGTCATTGCACGTGGACACACACCTGGCTGTGAGTGTGTGTATGGCCTGTCAGTTGTCTATGACAGCGAGAGGTCTAACTGGAGATCTTTAGGCCAGAAGTGTGACCGTTTGGAGCATCACGAGAGTGTGAGAAGCATGATTGCTGAAGAGTTCGCTGTGGTTTATTTATAGGCTCTGCATCAGCAGCAGTCACAGTGCTGCAAATGAAGCCCTTCAGAGAGAGAGAGAGAGAGAGAGAGAGATGCATGTGACAACAGCGGTCCACTGAGGTCTATGTTGAATCAGACGTGAGTTTTACCCTCTTCTGCACGCGGATCCGCGGAGGAAACCAGCAACAGCTCTACAGATTTAACACGACCAAAAACAGGCTGAAGGAAAGAAAGAAGCAGCGGAATCGAGAAATAAGGATGCTCTCTTACAGATGCAGTTTGTGGGTGTGAAGCTGTCTGTCGCACATCAGCTGGGTTTCTGTCACTGGTTTTCAACTATTGAGCACCGGTGTTCTGTTGCAATGTCAGTGCAGGAGTGTGTATTTTTCAGGATAATTCCCACACCATAAGAAGAGATCTGGAATGTGTGCAGAAACTCTCCTGCACTAATAAATGCGTATCGACTAGTGCGTTCAAGGCTTTATCTAAAATACAGTCTGAAGTCATAAGGTGAGTAACACCTATTGCTGTCAGCGGTTTGATGTGGTTTATATAACTGTTTTGCCTGCATATCTATTCTTTAACCCTTTTTAGTTCATTGTGATCTTGCTGTCTTTAAATAACTCGATATAACTTATAAATTCGATCCTAAAGTTGTGTATGCTTGAACACACTGTGTGTGTGTGTGTGTGTGCGCGCGTGCGTTTCTGGCTTCTTTATATAAATTGCGCTCAGCTCCATCTAGGCCAGCCCACGCGCGCCTCTGGTTGCCATAGCAACTGTCGGGAGTTTATAAGGGGTAGAGGATGCGAGACAGACTCCTCTTGGCTTTTACAGCTCAGCAGCAGCGGATGAGCAAATGCATCTGAAAAATTAGAGCCCAACTATTATTATATAATAAAAATTAAGTTCCAGTGTTGCCACCTTCTGGAACAACTGATTAGTGCAAAACAAGTTCAATGCACATGTGCGACCTGCACATACAAAGTATGAGCATACTATTCTGGTGGTGCATGTATTGTACTCGCATACTGCTCTGGTAAAGAAATTTGTATCACACTGTACTGCTCGCATACGTGTAAAAAATTAAGCATACTTTGGGCTTTCCGCAAAAAATAAATTGTGTTGTATTCTTTCCCTTACAGCCATGGCTCTAAGGCCCACCCTCATCTTCATTCTCTTACTGATTGGCTGCTGCGCTCTTGAGGACCCGCCCAAGGTTACAGCCCCGCCCCCTCCTCATGGATGTGGCGCTACAGTGGACCCGCCCTACAGAGTTTTGTGCGATCTGGAGTCCGTGTGGGGCGTGGTGCTGGAGGCCATAGCCTGCGGCGGTACCATATCTGCTTTGATTCTAGCCGTGATTCTTTTAGCCAAGCTGAAAACGGTAACGGAACCGGAGAAGCGATGTGGCGTCGGTCCCCTCCTCCTCCTATTGGCCGGAACCATGGGTCTCTTCAGCCTATCGCTGGTGTTCTTGGTGGGGCGTGGCGAGGTGCTCTGCATTGTGCGCCGCGGGCTGTGGGGGGTGCTGTTTGCGATGTGTTTCTCCTGTCTGCTGGTGCAGGGAGTGCGACTGAAGAAGCTGGCCGGAGGGAGGCGGAGCCCAGCAGGCAGCTCTCTCGCCGGATTGGCGTTTACACTCACTATGGTTCAAGGCATCATTGCTGGAGAGTGGCTGCTGCTTACGGTGGTCCGCGAGGGACATGCAGCCTGCGATTACCTGCCTCTAGACTTTGTGTTAGTGTGTAGCTATGCTCTAGCGTTGTTGCTAGCGGCCAGCATGTTGTCGTTGGCTGTGGTGTTGTGCGGAGGAAGCAACAGAGAGGAGTCGAGCAGGAAGACGATGAAGTGGAGGTGCAACGCTGTCTGGCTTTTCCTCTCATGTCTGTCCTCGCTTCTCCTCTGGGTCGCCTGGCTCGGTCTCTATCTCTACAGCGATGCCACCATCACGACCGTAGCAAAGGATTGGGACGAGCCGGCATTAGCAGTTGCCTTGGTGACCGAGGGTTGGGTGCTGCTGTTATTTCACGCTGTCCCAGAAATGCACCTGTGCTTGCGTCCGTCCAGTCAGAGGAACGCAGACACCGGGCAGAACTACTATGACACCCCTCAGCCGCCAACTGCACAAAGTTACCATGACGACGAGCGGCCAACCAATCCCAGAGCTCCGTTCACAGAGAGTCAGGCGTACACTGTAGAGGAGCACAGTGCAGGTAGGTTGTCACACAAAAAGCATGAGCAACATTCTGGGAAGGGTAGTTTATGGTTCTAAAAATAACCATTAGAGCAGTGGTTTTCAATCCTGTTCCTCGGGACCCACTGCTCTGCGCATTTTGCATGTGTCCCTCATCTGACACACTCATTTGAGTTCATGGAGCTCTTTCCTAATGATCTGAATCAGCTGTGTAAATTAGGGAGGCATGCAAAATGTGAAGAGAAGTTTGAAAACCACTGCATTAGAGAGCGTGCATTTGGGAGCGTTAGGAAAATGTTCTGTGCTTGCAGTGGTGAAATTGTTTTTATTTGATTTGATCTTTTGCGCGTAGTGGCGGACGCGTAGAGGCGTTACCAAGGAAGTGACGAGCGCTTCTTCCGGGTCGAAAGGAAAGCTTTCCCGCGTGTGGCAAATGAGTAAGTAGTAAAATAAACATCTAACTCGAATAATACAGCGCTTTGAAGCGAGTCGGAATATTAACCGCTCGATGCTCATGTTGTTGCACTTTACCGGCATATAAGTGTGTTTAACAATACAAGTCGCTTTACATTCATTGCCAAAGATGCTGGCTGTTCACAGAGTGCTGTATCCAAGCATGTTAACAGAAAGTTGAGTGGAAGGAAAAAGTGTGGAAGAAAAAGATGCACAACCATCAGAGAGAACCGCAGCCTCATGAGGATTGTCAAACAAAATCCGAAGTATTCTAATTTGTTGAGATAGTGAATTGGTGGGTTTTTGTTAAATGTGAGCCAAAATCATCACAATTAATAGAACCAAAGACTTAAACTACTTCAGTCTGTGTGCATTGAATTTATTTAATACACGAGTTTCACAATTTGAGTTGAATTACTGAAATAAATGAACTTTTCCACAACATTATAATTTGAGACGCACCTGTATATGAATGTCATTCCTCTGTCTGACATAATGTGTTTTCTGAGTTTGCAGATGGTGAAGGAAAACCCAATGAAAATAACCTCTAGGATGCAAAAAGCAGGAAGAAGTTGAGGTTTTTGAGAAGTTGGTTGACTAAAAGTTGGCATGGCAGTTGACGGGGCAACTAAAGAGAAGAAGAAGAAGAAGAAGAAAGTTCAGGATGCAGGAGACACACGTGTGATGGTGTGGCGTGACGTGTCCGTCCAGACTGATGTTAAAAACGAAACTTTGGATGTAAACATCAGAGATGGAGAGAAACGGGAGAGCAATGGGGCTGAGAAGAAGAGGAAGAAGAAAAAGAAAGTGAAGGAGGACGTGGAAGCAAACAGTCCCGTGTGTTACGATGCGTCCGTCCAGACTTCCGTCAAAACAGAGCGCTCCGATATAAACATCAGTGCTGCTCCTAAGAAGACGAAGAAGAAGATAGAGCAGGAAGCAGAAGAGATCGCCAGTGGAGATCATTTAGTGTCCAAGAAACAAGGACGTGAAGAAGAGGTGGAAGCTATAAAGAAGAAAAAGAAGAAAAAGCAAGTAGAGATGAAAAAAGAAGAGGCCGATTTAGGACACAGTGTAGAGATAGTAAAAAAGAAAAAGAAGAGAAAAATTGATGAAGATGTGGCCGAAGAAGAACAAAACAAAGAATTTGAGGGGGGAGAGGTAAAGAAGAAAAGAAAAAAGCAGAAAGATTGTAAACAGGAAGCGGTGAAGAAGAAGAAGAGGAAGAAATCTTCAGCAGTTGAAGAGCCTGATGACATTAGCTCCAGTGAAAAGCTGGAGAAGAAGAGCAAGAAGCTAAAGAAGAAACTGAAAGGTGTGGATGAAGGTGAGAGTCATCCTTGCGCCAACGGAGGACAGGTGAGCTCAGCGGACAAGAAGATGAGAAAGAAAGTCAAAGCTAAGACTGAGACTGAGGAGGAAGCGGTGGGAAAGAAGGGCAGAAAGAAAACCCCAGAAAAGGTTAGAAAGAAAAAGCCTAAAGAAGAGCATCTTGAGGCAGTCGTGGAGAGAGCAAGTAAAGCGGTGAGTTTATCCTCAACTGAGGCTCATGTTTGACTGTTTACAATGTGATGATAATTAAGCATGGATATTTAATTATGTAATATATTTTTCTTAACATCATGCACTGTTATTTTAGTATTATTTATATACTTATATAGTATTTATAAATTTTTAATGAGCTTTTATTTTCATATTTTAGTTAAAGGGGTCATATGATGTTGCTAAAAAGAACAGTATTTTGTGTATTTGGTGTAATGAAATTTGTTTATGCGGTTTAAGGTTCAAAAAACACATTATTTTCCACATACTGTACATTATTGTTTCTCCTCTATGCCCCGCCTTTCTGAAACGCGTCGATTTTTACAAAGCTCATCGGTCTGAAAAAGTGAGTTGTGCTGTGATTGGCCGAATACCTCAAGCGTGTAATGGAAATGTTACGTCCCTCACCATACTGTGATGCCTGCGGCAACCACATGTGACGACCCCGGGCTGGACTCCGCTTCGTCCACGGTGAAAGCCGATCCGGCGATCCACAGCGCGAAGTTGATGTATTTCCTCAGCGACCAGAACGGATCAGCTCTAGGCATGACGAAGCGGATATCATCCTCTTTTGGAAGACCAAACAAAGTAGTTTCGCTTTCACAACAAAACGCACAGCGCATTCACAAAATGTCGGCAGCAACAATACTACAGCGAGAATTAAAGTTACACCTTCTTTCTTTGCGTGAACATTTGGGCGGCGTTATGCAAATCTTCCCACATAGTGATGTAGACATGTTGGGGCGTGTTAGAACGAGCCGTTTTAGGGGGGCGTGGCTGACTCTTAACTTTTATAAAGAATATCTCTTTGGATTTGAGACTTTAGTCTTTGCAACTTTACAGATCTTCTTTATGCACCAAGAGCTTGTAACACTCCAAAGAGAAAGGAACAATTAAAATAGCATCATATGACCCCTTTAAATATTTCGGAATTTGGTTGTTCTTTTTTCTATTTTATTTATTTAATATTAGTTTATCTTCAGTTTATTTTAGTTTTAGTACATTTTAAGTTGGTTGCCAAGGCAACTTTTCGAATATTTTCTAAATCGAATTTTTTTTTTTTAGGTTTCAGGTTTTTCGTGAGTAATGTGTATATTTTGTTTTATTTTAGCTTTATTTCACGTAACTAACATGATTTTTGAAAATAGTTTTAGTTAACAGTAACAACACTGCTGCTTCATAACAGGGTCAGTATCACAAAAACTGTCAAGAATGTGTGCAGGTCATGATTCATCCAAAATCAAAATAATAAAATAAAATTAGAAATGATTTTTGTTTAAAAATATTTTAAAAGCCGTTTATGACACTTAGTATTTATTTACATTATAACATTATTTTTTTTGACAATTAATACAATTATTTTATGTATAATTTAAAATGGTATATATTTTGTGTATAATTTCTGTTGTTTTAAAATATGATTCTCATTACTGTAATACTGTAAGTAAAATTTTGCATTTACATAAATTAATGCAGTGTGTTTTTTTTACTACCATGTTAAATATATATTTTTTTCTTTCTTGCATATTACAGTAATGGAAATTCACATTCACGAAAAACCTTATTGTCCTATAAATAAGCATAATTTTATTTATGCAAAATATCATTTGTAATATCTTGCTTCGTGGCATATGGTCTGGATATTGTCTTCAGAGGTTTTGTTAGATTCGTCCGGCCATGTATGTTGCACCTCATGCCTGATTAGGAAAGTGGTCATCTGACTTGCTAGTAGTTTTATTTGACATTAAAACTTAATTCGCTGTATCTCATTGCGTTCTCCCTCTCTGTGCGCTCAGTCTGATGTTGTGTTCCTGTCGGAAAAGCCTGGAAATCAGGACAAAGTTTCTATAGATCAGGTACAACACCTGCTGATCACTGATGTTTTACACACACACACACACACACACATACATATATATATATATATGTCATGTTGAGACACTTTTCTTCCACAGGCCCGCCGTCTCCGCCTACAGAGGGACATTGACAAGGAATCACAGCCGAAGCCAGTCAGTTTCACAATTAAAACACTTGTATTGAGTCTTACACCTTTTGAAATAAAGGTTTCAAAATAGAGGGCTTTGCAGTGATGCAAGAGAACCATTTTTGCTTCCCTAAAGAACCTTTCAGTTCTTAAAAGAACCATTTTTTTCTTAGTGTAAACATTTTTTAAAAACCTTTTTCTGTTATAAAGAACTTTTTGAGCAATGGAAAGATTCCGTGGATATTGAAGGTTCTTCACGGAAGCATCAGTGCCAGTAAAGGTGCTTTATTTTTGAGTGTGTGTCCTGCATGGATAGTGTAATCGGTAATGGGAATGGATTTTAATCTGAATTGTGTTGATCCGTTTTAGAATCTCGGGCAGTGGGGCACGGCACAGTTCGACAGCTCTGACAGACAAGCCAAGTTTCTGCGCTTGATGGGCGGCTTTAAAAAGAGCAGCCAACCAGTCACAGGATCCTCCGGCCGGGCCAACATGGTGCTGGGGACAGAAGGCCAACAGACTTTGCAGCAAGGCCTTCTGGGAGAGTTTGAGCGTGCACAGAGCCGTCATATGGACTTCAGGAATAAAGGAGCCGGATTGGGGTTTGCAGCGCCGTCCAATAAGACGTTTGCGATCGATGCTAATGCTCGGAACTCAGTGTGGCTGGATGACTGAGAGTTCAACCAAAAGTGAACGCTTTGTCATCATTTACTCACCCTCACAATGTTTACAAATCACCGTGCTGTTCTTTATTTTAAAGAATCACATCAGTCAAGCTCCAAAAAGGAAAAAAAAATACAGAAAAATAGCCCATACTAAATATGTATGGAACGACTCAAAGGTGAGTGAATGATGACAAAATGTTCATTTCTAGGTGAACTGTTCCTTTAATGGATGAATCAAAATGGGTTTATGAAATGTATTTTTGGAATCCGAGGAGCGCTGAATCACCGACCCCCAAAAAAAAAAATTTGACAAGTTTCCGTTGAAATTTTTTTTTTGGTCCTGAGAGATGTACTCGGGTGAAATATCACGAGATGTATTTGAATTTATCATTAGATTTGCTAAAGAAAATGATACTAAAAGAAAAGGTTAAACAACCGAAAAGGTTGAATAAAGACACTGGATTAGAGCTGTCTTTGGGTAATCATGGTTGTCATTGCATTATTGAGAGTTATTTTTTTTAGTCATTTACATTTATGCATTTGGCAAACACTTATCTAGTGCCTTTGCATTCAAGGTATATTCACAAGCGTTCAAAAGCATGGAGTCGGTACAATTGTATGGTGACCAAGGCTGTATTTGTTTGATCAAAACTACAGTAAAAACGGTAATATTGTGAAATATTACAATTTAAAATAACTGGTTTCTATGTGAATATATTGTAAAATGTAATTTATTCCTGTGATCAAATCTAAATTGTCAGTCAGTCTTCAGTGTCAAAATCACTCTAATATGCTGATTTGCTGCTCATGAAACATTTCTGATTATCAATGTTAAACAGCTGTGCTGCTTCATATTTTTGTCAAAAAAAAAATTCAGGATTCTTTGATGATTAGATGTTCAAAAGAACAGCATTTATTTGAAATAGAAATATTTTGGAACATTATAAAAGTCTTTACTGTCACTTTTGATCAATTTTATGCATCCTTGATGAATGAAAATATTAATCTTAGTGACCCCAAACATTTGAACGGTAGAGCATCAGTTTTTGCATTTCTGGGAGTCAAACCCATTATGTTGGCATCACTGACACCAAGCTTTACTGTTTGAACTACAGGAACGTCATTTGTCTCGAAGTAAATCTTGTGTTAAAATGCTCCAGCTTTATATCAAACTACGATGAAACATTCAGGACAAACGGTGCTGAACTTGTGATGTTAAACACTTTATTTCTTTCTCTCTTGTAAACACATGACCATTCAAAACAGTTCCAGACAGAAGGACAGAATAAGGAAAAGGTATCAAATAAGACATTTCAAGAAGTTCTGAATAGAAGCAGCAAGATAAAAGTCAATTCATCTCTGGGTGACTCTTTTTGTGGTTCATGTGTTTTGAGGAGTTAGAAAACAGTGCCGCCTTATGTTATTGCTCTAGAAACTTCAAATCCCGTTGTGACAGTGAATGTAACTGTAATAATAGTACAATTACAGTTTTCCACTTTGGAAAAGAGCCATTGGTTTTAAAGCTCCATTTATACTACACAAAAAATATCAATGGTCCTAAAAACAGGCTTTTGTTGCTTTACACAAAATGTAATTTCTTATTTTCTTTCCTTTTGATTTTGTGATGAAATGTGACCAAGTAGCAAAGTTTACAGAGATTCACCCATAAATTTGTTCCAACTCTCTGATTCAGATTATGGTAATGTGATACTCGTGCAGTATTCACTTGGTAGTGTGCATTCACAGGCAGGGTGGAATGAGACGATCCCGATTCACACAGAATTCCAAACAGAATGCTATTGGGCTGAGAGTTCCGCATGAGGGGGCGTGTCTTTGAAGCTGTGTGTTCCAGTGGGTGTGGTCTAAGGGCGTGGCTCAGGCCTGCAGGTACTCCGGCTGTACCCGCGCGACCTTGCGAAACTCTTTGGCGTGTGTGCATGGACACTGCATCTCACACCAGCTGATGGGCACCATCTGAGCCCCTGCGGGAAGAGATTTCAGACTGTGAGGAACAATGAACATTTTTGGGTGAACTCTTCTCACTCTCAGGCCTTCCAAGATGTAGATGAGCTTGTGTCTTCATCACAACAGATTTGGAGAAATGTAGCATTGCATCACTTGCACACCAATGGATCCTCTGCAGTGAATGGGTGCCGTCAGAATGAGAGTCCAAACAGCTGATAAAAACATCACAATAATCCACAAGTAATCCAGGCCATCAATTAATGTCTAGTGAAGCAAAAAAATCTGAGTTTGTAATCATTAAGATGTTTTTTAACTTCAAACTGTTGCTTCCAGCTAAAATGAAGTCCTTTATCTATAATATTGGTTTCTCCAGTGAAAAAGCCGTTTCGGCTGAATCAGGAGAGAAATCTGCACAGATCAAGCACCGTTTACAAGCCAAAACAGCTCTGAACAAATAAATGGGTGGATTTTGATGTGAGAGGACAACAGGGGATGGACTTTTTCACTGGAGGAAGAGTTATTATGGACTCGTATTTTGGCCAGAAGTGACAGTTTAAAGTTGAAAAGTCTTAATAATGAATTTGTTTCTTACAAACATGCAGCTTTTCGCTTCACAAGACATTAAACCAAGGGTGCCCAAACTCGGTCCTTGAGGGCCGGTGTCCTGCAGAGTTTAGCTCCAACTTGCCTCAACACACCTGCCTTTAAGGTTCTAGTATGCCTAGTAAGAGCTTGATTAGCTGCTTCAGGTGTGTTTAATTGGGGTTGGAGCTAAACTCTTCAGGACACCGGCCCTCCAGGACCAAGTTTGGACACCCCTGCATTAAACTGATGGAGTGGAGCGGTGTGCATTGTGATGTTTTTATCAGCTGTTTGGACTCTCATTCTGACGGCACCCATTCACTGCAGAGGATCCACTGGTGAGCAAGTGATGCAATGCTACATTTCTCCAAATCTGTTCCTATTAAGAAACAAACTCATCTTGGATCGCCTAAGAGTGAGTACATTTTCAGCAAACGTTCATTTTTGGATGATGAACTATTTTTTAAAGTGCACTGCTATTTGAACGTTCCCTCACCCGCCTCGCTGTGGGCCACGACTACACCCAGCTCGTTCTCCGCTGTGGTCAGCAGGTAGTTCGACTGCACGTCGCCCAAAGAGATCTGACAGCCAAGGTCAAGGGTCATACGCAACACATCCATGACAACAGGAAAACCACTTTTCATTTAGCATAAAGGATACAACTTTTGCAAGGACAATGTCGCCTGGCCTGAAGCTTTTATACGTCTCCACCTGTAAAGAGCCATTCAATACATGACATTTTAACCCTCCAGCACTTTTTGAAAAAGTGCCATATATAAGATGTTTGCGAACATTTTTGCCCGGGAACAGTAAGTATAAAAAATGTTATTCAATTATATAAAAACGAATGAACCTGGAGTAGTAATCATAAAATATGCACTTCTATTTGAGATTTTAGGTAATTGAGATCTCATTTAGATCATATTTATGTGCAGTTTGTTTGTATGTATAAGCAAATATGCAAACTTTTGGAACATTATTACAGTAAAAATCTACATCTAGAAGTTTAAAACAAAATATGTGAATTTAAGCTTAGAAAATATATATATCTGGATATTTAGGCATTATACAATAATTGTGTCAAATTTTGGTATATGTATTTATTTTTTATTTTTTTTATATCATTACTGTTAGGGTCTTTCACATTCAATTTTTATATTATCTTTTAAAACAAAACAAAAATGAAGAGCTTATTCGATAAAAAAAACAATAATTTCCCATGAGCTCACCTTATCTTTCTCTGTCGCTCTCACATCTTCTCTTCTGGAGAAATCAAACCAAACAGAGTTTAGCATATTTTACTTCTATTACTGATAATAATTTACCCAACAGGACCTGCTTGTAAAACCTGAATGAAACTTACTTTATTTAATACATATGATGGATACAAAAATGAGGGATAGATTGATGAATAAAACATCCATACCTGATAGTGCCTCTAAACCTGTCTTTTAGTGGCGTCGAACCGACATATAAGATGTGGACTTTAGCAAATCGTGGGTTGATACTCGTCACCTGCAAAAGAAACAATCATACATTTAATGCACAGAAAAATTTAACATAATAACATCACACAGTGAAAGACAAAAAAACCGAGATCAGAACGATTCAGGCATGATTCGACCATAGCATTAGACACCAGTGATGTGTTGTTTAGTACAGGACTCTCACCTTACAGGTGACGATGGCACCGACGTCAGGCAAAAGTTGTGTTTCTGTCTCCCTAACGACTGAAATCACCGGCAACTGTAAAGGAAGAGGATGGAATAAAATGTCACCACTGGATTATCAAGATGCATGAGCGTTTAAGTCTTACAAATGAACGAAATGGCTATGTTGAAACAAAAATGTCCATAAAAGTGACAATGATGAACTGACCTCCTCTCCCTGGTTCTTTCTCAGCACATATCCCGCGAGCGAAGCGAAGATGTAGCCGTGCCGCAGATACGTGCCGGTGCCGGGGATACAGTCCTCCGTGCTGCAGAGCCTTTCACCTGCACGAACAACAGCAGACAAAGCAAGTTTGTAAAAACACACAAATCATGTACAGTGAAACACTTATAGCGGAAGTCTATGGGGCAGGAATAAACGTAAAAAATGCACCTCAACACTTTAACCACAAGACTCAATCATTTTACATTGCAAAAGTAAAGGTATTCCAATATTTCACCTGTTACTGCAAGATGTTTAGAAAAATTATTTTTGCCATGGAATAAAAATATAATAAAGCCTCACATTTCTGACTTTTTTCTCTCTCATTTGCGAGTTTACATCTCACAATTTTGACTTTTTTTATCCGAGTTTACATCTCGCTTTTTCTTGTTTTCGCTCCAAAAGCCATAGAATAAAAAATTTATCACGACTTTTAAATCTCACAATTCTGATTTTTTCCCCCCCCGCAATTCTGAGTTTATATCGCACAAGTCTGAAAACTGCTGGAGAAAGAAAAGTTAGTATTGCACGATGCAAACTCGCAATTACCTTTTTGTCTTTTTTTATATCGTGGAGGTACTGTTTTTATAGTTTACATACTGTAATAAAGTGTTTTTATTAGTGCTGTCAAATCGATTAATGGCAACATATATATGTGCGTACTGTGCATAATCAATGTATTTATAAATACACACATACTGACATGTATATATTTAAGAAATATATGTAATATATATTATGTAAACACAAACTTTTGTATTTGGATGCCATTAATCGATTTGACAGCACTAGTTTTCATATATTACATAATATGACATAAGGCTTTTTTATGACTAAATTTGGTAATGGGAGAGTAAAAATATTTTTAAAACGTACACCGTTCAAACTAGGCTGCTTATGTTGAAGTGTTTGGGATGTGGCTTTTAATGATGAGACCTTTTTTGTAATCAGGCTCTCAAAAAGTATATAACAATTTGGATATAGATTTATCGGCCAACATATCGGTTATCGGCTTTCAAAAATAAAGAATAATCGGTTATCGGTATCGGCCAAAATTTTCATATCGGTGCATCCCTACAATTTGAATATGTATTTTAAAAAATTGCACTCACAGAATAACGTCGTTAAAATAGTTAGTTCATCCGCTAAGAAAAGTAGTCCCACCGCTAAAAAGAGGGTCTTCTCTCAAAAAACAAATAAATTGTTAGCGTTACATTTCTACTTCAAAACCCTTCCTTACACGTGCCACATTTATTTCCATTGCAAGTAAATAAACGCGATTTTTTTTCTAAACTGAAACTTATTTTCTGTCACAGATTTATTTAGTCATTTATTAGACGCTTTTATCCAAAGTGACTTACAAATGAGGACAACAGAAGCAATCAATTGCAGTATTAAAACAACTAAAAACAGATCCAGAACTAAAAGCTCAAACTTACGACTTATACACATTTTAAAAATAAAGAGATTAAATAAAAATGACAAATGCATACAACAAAATTTCAAAACTTAACATTTAAATGAAAAACAAAAACTAAAGCTAAAAACAATTCAAAATATTAAAGAACAAACGGTATAAGACTATAATAATGATTCTAACATAACACTAAGCCAAACACCAAAAAAAACAACTACATATACATACTGTATATGTACATACACATTTATAAATTCAATATATATATTATTTCATTTCCATTTAGTTTGTTGAAGTATTAAAATAACTCAAATGTAATAAAACTAAAAACTTAATAAAAGACCTATACAGACATAATAAATTCAGACATAATGTAACTAAAATTTTAATAAATAACAAATACAAATAATACAAATCAAATGACCGTAGTTTATCAGTAATCCTAAAAAATAACACTGCCAAACAACAACTTACTGACACATAGTAAGAAACGGTTATAAAAACTGAAACAGAAGCGAAACAAGTAACAGGAAAGAGGAGAAGCATACAGATGCGGTATGCAAAAACTAAAAAAAAGAATAAATAAATAAAACCTGATTTCTGGGACTTGATGTAAATGAGCATTTCAGGGCAATCTGGGTGATGGAAACAGCTGGAGACACTCATCAGCCGTGAGCTGGTGTAGAGGCACACAGGTGAGTGCTCTGCAGCAGTTTGAGGACAGGTGAGCGTGACAGCAGCGCTCGCGCTCCGGTGTTACGAGATTCTTGGTTTCAGTGGGCGGAGCAAACATGAATATTCACGAGTTTCCCAGACAGGTGCCTGGAACCAAGTGGAACTGAGAATTTCAGTTCACACTCCTTGTATCTCAGCACATTTAATGGAATATACAGTGTATATATATATATATATATATTTTTTTTTTTTTTTTTTTTTTTTTTTAAGTAAATATATTTACAGTGTTGCACAAGCTACATGTGTTTATCATTTCATAACAGTTTATAATGTTTATTAGTTTGTGCAGTCATCCCTGACTGAATGATTGCAGGCATTCTTTGTGTAATGTTAGGATAAAGCACAGCCAACTTCAGCTAGTTGTAGCCAATACATTGATTTCAGTTCTTTGTGCTCTTCGTGTGTAGCTTGCGATGCTTTAAAACTTTGTCTGTTATTAGTTATCATTTGTTGAAAACATCACTGCCTGCAACAAATGAAATAAACTTATATAAACGTATCTGTGGACATATTTATTTTTGTATACTGGTGTGATGATCCATGTCTTAACCATAGACTGTATAAAAACAACCTGTCCCGTTCAACATTCTCCATGCTGTCTGGTTGTTAACTATGATACAATCATACACTGCTGCAAAAGCATGCTGCTGAAATTTCTTTTTTTCATGTTTCCAATGTAAAACAGTTAAACATTCTTACAAACAAATGTAAATTTACCAATTAAGATTCTCACAAGGTTTATGGTTCCATTTGCACAGTGAAACCAAAAATCCCCGAACACCTGGATGATTACAGCTACAGGTTTCCAATAGTAGCGCAGATCCAACTACCATTTCAATTATTTATTTTTATGCTCTTCTGTTACCTTTTAAGTTTTAAAACTGTCATCTTCTGGCAATGAATGAAATAACATTCACCACCATATCAGTGGCCTAATAAACATTTTGCAACCTACACTGATGTTATTCTCTGTCATCTGTTCTTTGTTCATGTGTTGCACTGTACCTGGATGATACACAATGATGATCATTGATACAAATGCTATTTTGATGCACAACAAACACTCATGCAATCAAACATTATTTATAGGCTAAGTCATAAAGTTTCACAAACATATATATACTCTTAATTAGGCTTATATATATATACATAAACTGTTCCCTCCTGGTGGAATGACCTGCCCAACTCAATTCGAGCAGCTGAATCCTTAGCCATCTTCAAGAACCAGCTAAAAACACATCTCTTCCATCTATATTTGACCCTCTAACTCTAGCACTTTCTATTCTAATTCTATTTTATCTATTTGTTGACTTGACCCTCTAACACTTGCACTCTCTATTCGTTTTCCAACTGCTTGTTTTCTTTAAAAAAGGCCTCTAACACTAGCTTTCTCTATTCTATCTACTTGTTTTCTTTTTGTTATGTGTATGTATGTGTAAAGCGTCTGCTAAATGACTACATTCATAAATAAATATAAAGGGCCTCTAAATATAAAAATAAAGTGGAATAAAGATTGGATTGTGGCCTTGATTAGCTTTTGATGAGATGTTGGTAAAATGTGTGTTGGTGTGAATGTTTGATATTATGTGAGACAGTGGCATTTTGTTTTTAAAAATATGAATTCAATAGTGATTCAAATCAAAGTAAGTTACAATTAGCTTAAGTGTGCTGAATGTCTGCAATCACTCAGTCAGCACAAAACTGAACTGTTACAAAATGATGAACAAATGTAGTTTAGGCATAGGTTTGTGCAACGCTGTGAAATATTTACCCTTTTAAAAATATCCCATTAAACGTGCTGAGATGCAAGGAGTGTGAACTCATGAATATTCATGTTTGCCCCGCCCACTGACACCGAGACTCTCGTAACACCGAGTCTTTAAACCCTACAGACACCTCCAGAACTACAGGCGTTTACAGCATATCAGATATACGCTACTGCAGCGAGCTAGTCAATCGACATCAGCTGTTTCTGACTGAAATCGAGCATTGTTATGCGTTCACAACATAATAATAGCAGCGCTGCAGATGATTCAGCCCTACAGCACGTGAACGCTCCGGAGGAATCAAACTGCGCAGAACTTTTTACTAACCACATCAAAGTTAAATAAAATACCAGTCTGTGCACAAGCAAAGAATATATAACCAAACCCTGCAGCGATTATGTCGATAAACCCTAAAGGAAGCGAAGAAAACATGTTAATAACAGCAACCCACCTGGAACACACAGCTTCGTGGGCGCCATGTTTTCAAGAAGCGAGAGTCGCGTTTTGATTGGCTGTTAGTCAGCGGGCAACTCGCGCTCTGATTGGTCACTTCATCGCACGGTTCGCGTACACCGCCATATTTGTTGTGGCTGTAAATGTAAATATAATTCGGGAAGACTTCTTACATGTTGAATGGAGAAGGTTTGGACGTTGCCTATTAAGTATATGCAAAAAGTTTTTGGGAACTTGAAAAAATATTATTGTTGTGTTATTAATTATATTAGTAATTACAACTTCATTACTTACATAAAGGCAATATTCACTGATTCATATTTTACAGAAAAAATTTAAAAACCATTTTTTAACATACAATTTATTTTTTCGTCTTAGTTTGAAGTTTAGGATACATGACAAAAATAATATATATTTGTATGTTTTTTAATGATCTATTGTGAATATTAGATATGTAGATATTGTGAATCAAGCAACTTATTTCTGCTGAAGTAAGCCAACATTTATTAGGGCTTGCACATAAACTCACATATGTGTGCATATAACTCTATCTTTCAGTCAAGCAAAATAATTGTAACAATTGCTGTACAAACAAAATGCAAAAGAACAGACAAAATGATATAATTACTGAATATTGGGGCACAATATTCAACATTTCCAATGTTTGCAGGAGACTTGGGTCAAAATGCATTGAACGTGACATGGATTACAGCACGTCTTCAACATACAGTGACATTCACCACATAAAAAGTAACAGAAAATGACATCTCCAAAAAGCTCACGGGAATATTATCTGCTGTTAATCACCAACCAAACTCACTCCTCGACTCTAGGTGTAGGTGAATCCTAAAAACTAACCGTTACGCAGATCTCGTGGGATATTTCAAGAACATTTCTGTGGGTGTTCAGAGATATTTAGCAGCGGTACAAAGCATGAATCACGCAATAGACGGGGAAACGCACCACTTCTGCAGCCCACCCGGTGATTAATATATGCTGTTGCCTGGCAACAGTTGTCAAAGCCATGCCATCACAGACAAACACATGTGCCATCATTTGAAATGTGCGACTGAGGATCTTCAGTGCAGAGACTATATAAAGCTAAAATCCCTCCTCGTGGCTCAGTTTCACTGCATTTACACACATACCCAAGCAGTTACATCTGAATTGTTTTGGGATGGTCCCGATTGAGAGCATTTGGAAATGAATGATTGGTCAGTGGTTTGGTTCTAGGCTCACGGTATAACACTGGCTGCATTTGTGAGGAGGATTGCGTGAAGTACTAATCTACTTCTTGGCTTTGCCCTGAGCAGCGACGGCCTCCATGGCTTTGCGGACAGTCTCTTCATCTCCCAGGAACTGCATGGGCTTCACAGGCTTCAGGTTCTTGTCCAGCTCATAAAGGATGGGAATTCCTGTGGGCAGATTCAGCTCCATAATCGCCTCCTCTGACATACCTGGCAGAAACACACAGGTTATAATCCGCACAATCAAATAGATGCTCATTTAAACGTAGTGGATGGTTGCCAGGGTGTTGTTATGCATTTGCTAAGATATTATTAAGAGCCAGTGTGAATAACCCTATGATTTCTGTAACGTTGAAAATAAAGACAGGATTGTGGAATCCAGTCATAAAAACGGAATTTGCAGCATAACTCAATGTCACAGAATTTGGCAAATTTTGGATAAATTAATCAAGAGAAATTCTGACAGACATACTGTATATTACTATTGTACAGTGGAAGGTACTTCAAAAAGTAATAATACAATTATTTATACTTTATTTTTTAAGGAGCATCACAATTTTTCCTGCATGTTTTAATTTTGACAGTAAACTTCTGTTGTGCAGCACTTTATTTGCCCCCCCCCAAAAAATTATATTTTAATTTGATATTTTAAGTTTTCTTTTCTCTTTGGAGTGTTACAAGCTGATTGTGGATAAACAAGATCCCTGAAGTTGCAAAGACTAAAGTCTCAAAACCAAAGAGATATTCTTTATCAAAGTTAAGACTCTGCCACGCCCCCCTAAAACGGCTCGTTCTAACACGCCCCCACATATCTACCTCACTATGTGGAAATATTAGCATAATGCGCCCAAATGTGCACGCAAAGAAAGAAGGCGTGGTTTCAGTAACCGCAGTTAGTGTTGAAGCAGCATGTCAGGGAGACGCTGTGTGTTTCTAGGCGAAAACAGCAATGCATTTTATGGACGACCGTTTCGTGAACCTAGGAGAGGAGGTCATTCTGACTTTGCTATGACAATCTGGCGCTTCTGAATCAGCTACTGTTTTGTTGTTTTGTTATTAGTTTAAGTATTTGCTATGGACTGTTCAAATGCGGAGTTTTGCGCATCATGTGTGTGTGTGTG